TGGAATTCGGAGGAGGCCTAATCTGTGGGATCTGATCAGTCTATTGGAGGTAATTGGCAGCAGGCGGTCTCTCAAGTACCCAGGTCCAATACCATCTGGTTATGAACCCTGTTTCAGCTTTGCAGCTCGTGAGAGAGTGTGGATTTTTTATACAGGCAGTCCTCGACTTACAACAGTTTGCCCAGTGACAGTTCAAAGTTACAACGCCACGGAAAACAGGACCATTTTTCGCACTCACGCTGCAGCAGCATCCCTGTGTTTGCGTGATTTTCATTCGGATGCTTGACAACTGACTCGCAGATATGACGATTTGCAGTGTCCCGGGCTCACATGCGATCCCCTTTGGCGACAAGCAGAAGTCCACGTGGAAAGCAGGTTCACTTAACGACCGGGTTACTCATTGAACAACAGCGGCGATCCCCTTAACCGACACGGCAAGCGAAGTCGTAACCAGAGGCAAAACAAATTTCTCACTTCGCAACATAAATTTGGGGGCTCAACTGTGGTCGTAAGCTGAGGATCACCTGTGGGAGGACGGAACTTTTTATTTTTTTCCTTGTCGGAATCTGTAAGGAGAGTTCAGAATTCTGCCCCTTGGCTTCAACTTCCTTATTCTGCACGAGGTGTAAACCTCTTAGGCCTCCCAAAGAGTGAGCAAAGTCCACTCTGTTTTAGAAAGAGTCATTTTCCACTTCAAGGGGAACCTTTTGCCTTTCATGCAGTTTGAAACTGGATTGATGTTTCTTCCAGGAGGAAGGCAGTGGCTCAGGGGCTAAGACGCTGAGCTCGTCGATCAGAAAGGTCGGCAGTTCGGCGGTTCGAATCCCTAGCACTGCATAACAGAGTGAGCTCCTGTTACGTGTCCCAGCTTCTGCCAACCTAGCAGTCTGAAAGCATATAAAAATACAAGTAGAAAAATAGGAGCCACCTTTTGGTAGGAAGGGAACAGCGTTCCATACACCTTCGGCATTGAGTCATGCCGGCCACATGACCACGGAGACGTCTTCGTACAGTGCTGGCTTTTCGGCTTTGAAACGGAGATGAGCACCGCTCCCTAGAGTGGGAAACAATTAGCACATACGTGCGAGGGGAGCCTAAACCTTTACCTTTATTTCTTCCAGATGACCCAAAAATCTAGTTGCTCGAAACCAGGGTGTCAAACTCAAGACCTGGGGACCGGATCCAGCCCACTGGGTGCTTAGATCGGGCCTGCAGGATTGCCCTGGAAATAGCAAAAGACCAGCCCGTGATGCTTCTGCCCGCGAAAACGGAGCTAGGGAGAGCCGCGTGTAACCCTTCCCGAGCTTCGTTTTCGATGGCAGAGGGATGCAGGAGGCCATCTCAGCCGAAAATGGAGCTTGGGAGCCTATTTTGGCTGGCCATGCCCACCCTGACCACACACACACACATGCATGCACACACACACACCACCCCGAGATCAAACACAACCCTGATGCGACTCTCAGTGAAATCAGGTTTGACACCCCTGATCTAGGGATTCTGATTGCATGCAGGAGACTTATGCCTATGTTACAAGAGGGGGGTTTTCAGCCTAATATTTGTCAGGAGAATAACTGGGGAGAATAATTGCTCCAAACTCTATGTTACAAAAAAAAAAAAAAAAAAAAAAAAGAATCTGCTTAATGGTTACAGCTCCATTCTCATCTCCAGGTTCTGCCGAAACCCTTTACAACTCCGTCCACAAGAAAATCTTCACCCTTCCAGGTGACTGCCTGATCTATCCTGCCCATGACTACACAGGTGAGTCGGTGAGCGCTTTTTACTCTCTTCTTCTTCTTTTTAATCTTTTAAGTTTAGTTCGCATTAGGTTTTCCTCTTGCGATCAACATTCCGAACTGGACGTAGATACACCAGATTTAATATTGTTGTGGCCTCGACTTATGAGCATCACTGAGCCCCAAATTTCTGTTGTTAAGTGAACGTTGCCCCATTTCACGACCTTTCTCGCCTCAGTTGCTAAGTGAATCACTGCAGTTGATAAATTCATAACCCGGTGTTGTGGCCAGCCAATGGCCTGCGGAGCTGGCAGCAGATTCGGACAGTGAGGAGGTTGGGGAGGGACATGGGCCAGTCCTGGAGTCTGGGGAAGGCTCGG